TGGGGGTTGTGCGGCTGCGCTCGACCTCTTTGGGAGCTGGTGTTCCCCGTCAGCCACCAGTGTTTTCTTCGCACAGAGCTGACGAGAGAGTCTGTGGCCCGGGGGTTCCCCTCAGTGGGCCTCACCGTGGGATTTGCCACGGCAGCTGTTGGGGGACCTTGGGGGGGGGGAGGCTGGGAGAGCTCTTCATGCTTCATCTTAACAGCATCCTCGGGGGGGGTCCCTGGATGGCCCCACGGCCCCCATGTTCTCATCATTGGTGGGTGGGTGGGTGGCTTGGGTACCTGTAGAAGTTAAAGTTTACCCACATTAAGATTTTAGCACAGAGGTTTAGGCGGAGCGTCCACGCAGGTGAAGACGTTTCTGTCCTCTGTGGTTTTGGTCTTTATTGATCTTAGCAGCGTGGCCAGGGTTGTAACGGTCTTCTGTGCCTTTGTGTAGGTCCCTGTGTGGATCGTGTGCCAGGCAGGGCTGAGGACACTGCCTCAGTGACAGACGTCCCGTCCCTGTGGTGAGTGCCTTCTGTTTACGGAACATGTGGCCGTTCTCATCAGCGGACGAGCCCTTCACTGACATTCTTTCCATTTGCTCCTCAGACCCACCTGCCCAGCCGCTGTCCTGCCCCTGGAAGTGCAGAGGTGCCAGGAGCTGCCCACCGTCCCAGGACAAACCAGCAGGTGGGAATCGGGGACGGGCCCCCAGGGTCTGGCCTTCGGCCCGGCATTCCCATTTGTTACCCAGCAGTTGCTGTGCTGACTGTTGCATTCCTGTCGCGTTGAATTCCCAGCTGCTCTCTGAGGCTGCATTGCTTCAATTTTTGGATCAAGAACTGCTCACCCTGCTCAGCAGACCTTCTTTGGTCTCGAGCAGGTTCGGCAGTTGGTGTGGGCAGATCTATTCGATGCCCTGCTTGCCACCGGATACGGGTGCCAGCTGACAGCCGAGCGGTGGACAGCTGCCCCTTGTCCCGCTGCGGGCTCTGGCGGGGTGGGCCTGTCCTGGGGACAGCGTTCCGTGGCATTCCTTCCACTCCAGCCTCCCCCTCCCCGCCTCACCCAGAAGCAGAGACGTCCCTGCCCCAGATCGGAGGGGCCCCCGCTGGTGAGCTGGCCCTCCTTCGTTCCCACCTTGAGTTAAATCAGGATGAGGGAGGAAGAGCCCATTTTCCTTGGGGCTGTTACAGAAAGTTCCAGAAGGAGGCGGTTTGGGGGCTAAGCCTTGAGGAGGAAGGGATGGTGTGCATGGAGGGCAGGGCAGAGGGCATTCCAGATCGTGAAGATTCCACTTTTAAAAAAAATATGTTCTTTTAATTGACTTCAGAGAAAAAGGGAGAGGGAGGGAGAGAGAGAGAGAGAGGAACATCAATGATGAGAGAGCATCGTGGATTGGCTGCCTCCTGCACATCCCCTATTGGGGATCCAGCCCGCAACCCCGGCATGTGCCCTGACCAGGGATCGAACCCTGACCTCCTGGTTCATAGCTCAACACTCAACCACTGAGCCACACCAGCCGGGCCTGAGTCTGCATTTCAGACACCTTCTCAGTTTACTTGCTTCCCTTCTAAGTTCTTCCGCCTGGACTGCTCACCGCATCAACATGAGACAGAGAAACCGGAGAACATGACCAAATTTGTTACATACATGCACATGGATTTCGTAAGAACAGGGGGCCGAGGACACCACCTGGGCAGTCGAGGCCTCCGTGCCCCCTGAGCGAAGGAGATCGGGGGCGGTGGGGGACATCAGAAGGCAGGAAGGCGGTTCGCGTGGAGGTAGAAAAGCAAATGTTTGGTAAAGAAATGTTTGCTGGGCCGCCCTTGACAGTGGGACACAGGACTTGGACCCCAGGGTCCTCGACGGGCCCTCCCTGCCCCTCACACTGGTCCCTGTGGGCGCGTGGTGCCTGCGAGGCAGCTGCCCTGAGCAGGCTTCCGTCCGAATTCTTTCAGGCAGTGGCCGGAAGCACCAGGGTTTGGTTTTGTGTTTTTCTTGAGTCTTTTGTTTCTCAGAATAACCAGCATACAACAGTCAACACCCCAAAAGGCATATCTGGGGGAGTAAACTCTGCTCCCTCAGGATCCGCCAGATTCCAGACCCGGCTTGAGTCGCTCATGGTTGATCTTGAAGAGTCAGGCTCGGCCCTGGCCGGTGTGGCTCCGTGGCTAGAGCATCGCCCGAGCACCAAGGGGCCATGGGTTTGATTCTGGGTCAAGGCCACGCATCCGGGTTGCAGGTCGATCCTCAGCCCCATCAGGGTACATGCGGGAGGCAACCATCGATGTGTCTCTCTCCCATTGATATGTCTCTCTCTCTCTCTCTTCTCTCTCTCCCCCCCTCCCTCCTACCCCCTCTAAAAATCAATGGAAAAAGTGTCCTCAGGTGAGGAGTAACAAAAACAAAAAATAAAAGAAACACACACACACAACACGCAGGGTTCTTCCTCAGTGGAGCCAGGGAAGGGGAGCACCTGCCCCCTGGTTGGAGGTGAGCGTGGGGCTGCGCAGGGCGATGGGCGCGTTCCTGGGGCTGGAGGCTCTCGGGGAGGGGCTGGAGGGGCCGAGAGGAGCCAGAGAGGAGCCAGCGGGGTCGGTGGAGGCCTCTCGCCTGAAGCCGGCCAGGACATTCCTGCAGGCCCTGGGGTGTGGCCGCGAGGAACACTCTGGAGGAGCAACTGCTGAGCTGGACAGCCAGCCCCGCCCCACCCCCCCCTGCTGGGGCCCCATGGAGGCCCAAGGACGGGGCTCTGGCTGAGGCCACCCCGCAGGCCCCCCGCCCTCGCAGGGCTGAGTGCAGATCGAATGAGATCACCGTCCCAGGCCGCCCGCGAGGCTCCTCCTCGTCCTCTTTTGGAGGGCCCGTTCCTGCCCCGAACATTGGACGCGCGCCCCTGCCTTGGAAAATATTTGTAAAGCCCCGTGGGTTGGGGGGCCGAGCCCTGCAGCGTGGAGCGACCCTCACAGCTTCAATCACCGGGCTTCGGGGCTGCCCCTTCCCAGGGGGTGACGGCACGGCCATGCCGGGCTCCCGTGTAAAGAAGCATGGGCCGCCGGCTGCCACCTTCAGAGAGGGACCCTCACCTTCCCCCCAGTGCCCACCTCTCGCCGTCCTGGCCCTCCCCCGCAACAGGAAGTGCCCCGAAACTCTGGCCCTCGAGTGGAGACCAAGTGACCAGCTGCTGCTCCTGCCCCTGTGTCCAGGGAAGGCGCCCCCGAAGGGTGGACAGACATTCAGACGTTTGGACTGACTCCCGGGTGGCAGGAGCTGTCCCCTGCGCTGGGCTCGGCTTCTCCTGCAGACTGTGCGCTGGAGCTTTCGTTTATAAACGCCACCATTTCCCCTGTTACAGCCCTTCTTGGCTTCTGGGGGTAACAGGATTCTTTCTGAGCTTTAAAAAAGACGTTCTCTTGGCCCTGGGCGTTCCACGTAGGAACATGAGACCTTGCTCTCACTGTGAGGGTTTGCAGATTCGAGGCGTCTTTCAGGGCGAGTGTAGGAGGCCACATGGGATTTAGACAAACCCCCCAAATACCTGTAAGAGCGGTCCTGTGCAATACTTTGGATATACTCCCGCCCCCAATTATTAGCTGTTTATCTGAAATTCAGGTTTCACTGGACATCTGTGTGTTCCCTCGCTACGTGTGACAGTGCGGTTTGGACATGGGCGCCTTAAGTTAGATTGGAGAGTTGCTTGTCTTCCGAGTAGGTGTCCCAAAGGGGTCTGGTTTGCTTGTCACTGGCAAGAGGCCTTCCCATGCCCGTTGGGTGCGGACTGGGTGGCCCGGGACCGGAGAGCCGGCAGGAGACCTGCAGGGGCCTGTGTGTCACAGCGGCAGGCCCGCCCAGCGAG